CCCCAAAACCCCAAAACCCCAAAACCCCTTTTTGGGTAGGAGAGGTTGAAATTGATGCGGATTGGACATTGGAGTGGAGGTGAGAGTGGTGAAGAGGAAATTAGATGGGATTTTGGAGAGATTGAGGGATTTGGAGGTGGAGGAGAGGGGTGGAGTGGGTAGTAAGGTTTTAGAAGAGGGTTTTTGGTACCACTCTCACCCCCATTCCTCTCCTTCTCCCCTCCCAGCCCTCCCCCTCTCACCAACCCATCCTCCCCAGGATAAACTCCCTAAAAGTCATCAAAAATCCAGATACAGTCACCAATAAACCCTTAATGTGCAGAACAAAGTTTTGAAGAAACTAGGAATTTTAGTATGAAGGTTAACACACTGTGTTAAGATAGGAGAGTGTTTAGCACCTGACAACAGACATTTCGAAGTTGTCGTTCTGGGAGAATAAGGTCTGGATATAGTATGATCTGGCTTCTAGTTGGTTAAGAGCCTCGAATGTTTCAAAGTCTTTTTGGGTATACTTCTTGTTTCTTTTATTCTGCAGAGTTGTCCTAGTATTTCTTCAATGTTGTGTTTTTTGAGTAGGTCTTTCGATACGGTTTATTTTACTATCCCCTATGGCTCTGACTTTGTGGGATATCCTTCCAATTCTGCATTCTTTATTTTTCCTTTTTCTGCTAATTAATGTTGGTTCGGCCTCTTTAATCGATGGGAGGGATGAGTGAAGATAAGGTTTACACATTCATCGACCTTCCTCTTTTGTTCAGTAAGCACGACTGAACATTCAGCCTTTATTTAAAAATTCGCTGGCCTGCTCAAAATTCTCTTTATCTGTCTCGAAAATTGGTTGAGAATCCTTACGATTACGTAGCTGATCAATCTTCAAAGATAATTTATCCAAACTTTTAATCAACTTCTTCATATCCGAAATTTTCGTGGGTGTCCCGCTTATTTCTTTCTTCATGTTTGTTACTGAATATATTTCAACAATAAATATTTAAGTTGGGGTTTTGGGGTTTTGGGGTTTTGGGGTTTTGGGG